GTCCGGTGCGGGATTGGATGCGTTGATGTATTCCTGGATAGATCTGGCTGCGGCCTGGCAGCGTTGCGAGAATTCCCTTAGAAGGTCATTCTTGTAGAATTCTGTTGATGGTGTGGACTGGACTAGTTGAAGTAGTAATGATGCAGACGTATTTGCTTCCGATATTCTGGCGGAGAGCTCATCAGGTGTCGGGAGGCCTCCGTTTCGATGCGGGTGGGTGACATAATTGTCACGCTGGCCTGCAATCTGAGGTTGAACCCATGGTCCCTGTAAAACGTGGTGTTAACCCAGATGAAATATTTGGGGAGGAACAAGGGAGGGGAGAAAGGTGCCCATACAGCGCTAACTCCCATTGTCCTCTCAAATTTCTCCTTCTCCTTCTTCCACATTTGCGCCAATGAAGCTAGATGAGGGTCATTCGACTTCTGCACTGCGAGATATTCAAGAGTCTCTCTTAGGACCTGTTGCACGCTCATGTCCCGCCCGTCACGCAACAGATCTCTAATTACTGACACGAACTTGGCATCGAAGTTGCGGGAGAAGGTCTCGCCTGGGTTATCGACCAGGATTCGGATGAGCATGACGGCATTGTACTGCCTGTAGCCTTTTTTGCTGCTTGGATTGGAGAGAATATGACGGATCAGGTTGGCAGCCTCCTTTGCGGCGTTGGGGCTTGATTCCGCAGCCTCGACGATAGCCGGTAAGTGAAGGAATTCATCTCCCTAGCCGGGGGGAAGGGGGATATGAGAGTAGACGTTAGCTTGGGGAATCATTGCAGGCTCGTCTGGAGCGGGGGAGAAAGCCTGAAGCGTCTGCATACCGTGTTGTTGGGTCCTCCAGATTCACAAAAAGCATTCTATATATGCCATTAAAACGGTCAGAGCTCTCTGTTTTTGTTTGCACAAGCGAAGGCCAATCAGGGAAACAATTTGTGACAAGACGATATGACGTACCACTTCCGTTAAAATTATGGCTTCCGGCGATTCGGGGTGAGATGAACTTCGAAAGACGCTTTGGGCTGGATGATGAGAGAGCCGTCGCAAGCCCGTCAGTATTTTTCTCATGATGAAAGGAAGCTGAGGCTTATGTTGGCCAGATGCATGGGGCCAGATGGGTAATAAAACACTTGAAACAGTGGGTGGGCTTACAGGTATGTTTATTTATACTCCCGACGAATTTCCTCATGGTTTGTGTCGTCAGATTACAATGATCTCGATCTAGCAAAGCAGCCAAATAACGATCGAGATAAATATAATTAGCAACACAGAAGGACGGTTAGGTAAGATAGGATGAAGAAATTGCTGTACAACGGCTAGACACAAAATAGGGCGATGATGGCAGAAATCTGTAGACTGTATATAGGGACGTATGGAGCGGTAGCAGCGAGATGCGAGGGGTTCGGTAGATTGCCGCAAGCTAACGGAAATGTGGGACGACTGGAAAAGGGGGGGGGAAGGTTATCTTATTTTATGCTAATGATTAAACGATGGATAGAGTGTTTTTAATAAAGAATGGCGGGGGGTCGGATGAGGAGGGAGAGGTCAGACAGAGTCTTCAAGAGTGTTCCAACCGCTGATCTGTACTCTGTCGAGTTGATATGGTGTTGAAACATTAATTAAACCAACGTGATAACTAGTTAACATGGTTATAAACTAAACTTAAACTCCTTCGTTCCACTGTCACTTATTAGTTAAAGAGTTTACTCCGCCCTGGGGACGAGAAGGGGGAAACGAACTTCATCATCCCCAAAGTCCCCAGCCACAAAAGGCCAAGCTTTTTACCTAGCCACCACGAGGCTAGCGCCACGCTGCCCTGACTAATCTTCGCTATTTTTAGCCGTTTCCAGAGGAATGAGGTTGAAGTTGTCTCGAGGGTCCCTTTTTCTCACAGTCGAAACTGATAAACATTCAACGAAACATGGACGACGGATTTCGACTGATCTAAATAATATTTGCAGTGTTCACCTTTGCCCACTCCGTCCTTCGACGCCAATGCCATCTATTATTATTGCCATTGGGTGGGAACCTGCAGGAGTTTCCCTCTTAAGGGCTGCCTGCTATGGACTGTAAGTTCCCCTGCTAGCATTGCAACCCGAGGATCTAATAATAGAGATTTGCTGATGCTGACTGCTTGCAGGCTGCCCTAAATTAACATACTTCGATATGAGGCTTATATTTTGACTTGTTTCCCGGCTTCTCTGTTCAAGGTGTGTTTCTGGAGCTGGGGAACCGGGGACGGGCAACCTTTGCCTCGATACGTAAATCCGCTTTTGTTGTGCCCTGAGGAAAGGTTCATATAAGTCATTTCAGTCCTCCGCATGGGTTGACAAAACTCTCAGATGACATTTTCGGGGTGGACATGGATGTGAGCAATTGATTCAATATATTTTATACTCAACCGTTCCTTTTGGTCCATGAAAACTCGGCTCGGTTCAGTTTCCGGACTGTGCGATGCGATCTCTGTCAGAATGCGACAGCTAATTGGTACACGCACCACACGCAACAAATCCCAGATCGACAGTTTTGGTCTGATATTACTCGCTATCTTCAATTACCCCTATCTCTGCAATTTCAAGTATAATTGCATCTGAACCTGGAAGACTAACTCGCACTCCGGTTGAGTAAAAGCAGCATTGTTTTGTCACGTGTATCATATTCTCTGCAAGATGGTTGTATCTCAACGCCAGCGGATGTCTATCCCAAGTCATACGGAGGCGGGGCTACCAATTGGACATCGCTAAATCACGATCTGGAACTTTGTCTTTCACAGTACCATTCGCAGTGTATTCTATCTGGAGGATTAACTTGAAGCATTACGCCTGCATATCCGAATGGCCTGCCAATCAAAGACAACCATCCCCTCTGAGGGATGTCGGGATTGAAAAAGGTTGACGCGTTCATCAATCCTCTGACGGATAAAGAATGAAGCTCTCGCGGCCTCTGTCTCTTCAAGCAATCAGATGACCCTCTACCAAGAGTCCTGATGTGCACACCCCCTCCGCACTCCCACCTTCTCCATATCATTCCTGCCCCGAAAAATATGTCACTCCCAACTAACTGCATGTACGTTATTTCTTTCAAATGGCCCAATAGCCTACGGCTGTGGCGACCAGCTTCCCGTGAAGCGGGACTTGGCATGTGTAATTCTGACGATCGTTGGTGATGGGGGCAGACAACCGTCATTGCACAGCCCTGATGGGACGCGAGAGGCCAGCGTCTGGACGTTTGGCGAAAATTACATATTTTCTTTATTTTGTCTTACCAGATATGACGACCACTTCGGTTGTAAATTCAACTTGCACGGAAAAAAAAAAAAAAAAAAATGATGGATCGTGCAGCATTCACCACATCGGGGATATACAGGACAATACGCAAGAAGCAATGGAGACCCTGAGCCCACACACGATTCTCTAGGAGAGTGTGTTTCTATGAGCATATTCACGGACATTAATTTAGGATTATGGTTAAAGGTGCTGATACTATACTTAACAGAGTTTTATAGACGGAATGAAACATGCCGCCTTGCCAAAATGAAACGGAATATCTGATAGAGCAAAACGTAATGAAACCCAACTTCCTCTTCTCAAAACCGTCATTACAACTCGAGAATTATCTTACCCCTCGAATGACCTTCGTCCAACTTCTCAAAAGCGGCTCTATACTCCTCCAGCTTCCAGACACTATCAACCACAGCTCTCACCTTCCCCTCCTCAAACAACCTCCCAACGTCAGCCAAATCCTCCCCACGCGGCACCATTATGAAAAACTCACTCCTCACATCCTTCACCGCACAATACCCCGGCCTCCTCCCTTCCGGCGGCTCGCATATCGACAAAAGCACCCCACCATCCTTCACAGCACTCCAGCATTGCGCCAGTGAGTCCCCACCCTTACAATCAACCACCAGATCCACCTTTCCCCCTCCCTCCCCGCTTTCCACCCACTCCCTCACCCCCGTCTTTCTATAATCAATCACCTCCGTCGCCCCCAACTCCTTCACCAACCCCACATTCCCCGTCCCACACACCGTCACAATCCCACCAACCCCCGCCTCCCTCGCCAACTGCAACAACCAAACCCCAACCCCACCCGACGCAGCCGTAACAAGCAGTCTCTTCCCCTTATTCCTCTCCCTCCCGGCCTCCCCTTCCCCCAAGCCCGCAAACCCCCCATGCTCAAACAGCGCCTGCACTGCCGTCTCCGCACTCAACGGCACACTTGCTGCCTCTGTCTCATCCACATTCCGCGGCCGCCTGGCCAGCTCCTGCGTATGCGCCACTGTATATTCGCGCGCATTGCCGGAGTGGTTGACATTTGTGCGTCCCCAGATGGGCGTGCCGGGCGGAAATGGCGAGTTTGGCGGGGCGACAACGACGGTGCCAGACAGGTCGTAGCAGGGGACTATGTTCTTTGAGAAGAGTTGGGGGTTATAGGACGGCCAGGTGAGTTCGCCGGCGCAGGGGGAGGTGGCGTGCACGCGGATTAGATGTTCGGTGGTGTTGTTGGGGGTTAGGCACGGTGGCGGGGAAGTCGTCAGTGTTATGTCTGGTTTTAAGGGGTCCGGTTGGCTGAGGGTACGGATTGTTGGAGGGATGGATGACTGGGAGGCCATGGTTGGGTTTGAGAGGTGAGCGTTGGTTTGGTGTCTTTGGGATCGGGGACGTAGGTAGGGAAGCAGAATGTTCAGGAATGTTTCTTTTGTTGAGCGGATTTAGCTTGTAGCTCTCTAGGCTTTGTGTCTTGGATAGTTTTCGAAAAGAAATGAGATTCTGGTTCAGTTTTGGGTTGGATGGCGCCTATTGATCTTAAATAGAAAATTCATGGATACACCCCACCGCCCTCCCACTGCCTGTATCGCAAGGTCAAAAATGAACCTTAATTAACCCAAACCGGGGAGTCGGTGCTACACAGTCCCGCTATACCCGCGATTCCCGTCATTCCCGGTCTCCAGCACTACCTAGATCGGCCCTAATCATTATTCCGACATGATGTCATAGTCGCATGGCAGATTCACAGGAGTGCCGTGTAGAAGTCCCTATCCCTGCTGCCCGACGGCGATCAGCATACGAGGTTTGCTGAGAAATATCTTCAACTTCCCCAGACTTATTTCTATCTATTGCAGCGGTTATCCATATGTAATATTCAGCATCTTGCCAATACATCGATTGCGCAGAAGTGCGGGGTGGAAGTACACCGTATTAATAATGAACGATAACTAACTAACTAGTTAGTTAACTACTTAACTTAGTTACTGGTCACTTCAACCGCATGCCAACTCGTGATCCGCCACAGCAAGACGAAAGTTAATTCGACCTGCTTTGTGTTTATGATTTTGAAGCTCTATTCTTACTCTGAGCCTGATAGCAATACATACCAGCGGGTGTCTCAAAATCATCCTAATCACAGATTGCCCGGGCAAGAGCCTACAGGAGCTCTTATTTATATACTTGTTCAAGCACGGTTCCTCATTGATGAATCTGAACAACTTGTACGGCGCCGCGTACGGCTCAATGTAGATGAACTTGGGCGCATTGCTGCAAATTCAGTTGATGCTGAACATTGTGTTGATTTATTGCAACATGTCCCGCGGCGGCTGTATAACGAGGCGTATATTCTTGCTATGGGCAATGGGATGCAGGCCATTGGGATGGCCCCCAACCCCAATGCTGGAGTGCCTCAATTAGTTATACTACAACTAGTGAAGTAGCCACTTTTGATTTTATATAATTGTAAGTCACTTGCTTAATTGTGATTCGTTTTCTAACTGGGGCACCAGTCTGATTTCCTCGAAGCCTCTACATTGCGAGAGGATTTTGATTCCTTCCTCGAATGGAGAGCGAAAGGTGATTATAAACAGCTTATGGATAAATCGGCTATTGTAACCTGGCGCCGTCCTGTCTAGGGCAAAAAACGCAGTCCAGTACAAGCCAATCAAGTTCTAAAGAAACATACCCGGTCACATTCTTTCTGTGTGTCTCGCCGTATTTTTGAACTAGGTGAGGTGAAGGCACAGCTTGGCGCCCTGCTTCCTCGACCTACGGAATGAATGGCATGAAATTGACACCGATGTCAAACCTACTTTATTTCTGATACATTTTCTCAAAAAGAGGAAGTTGCCCAGCTGGAGGAAGATACGAAGCGTGCTGACTCGAGTATTGAGACCATGGAGCTCCTGGAACAGCGATTCGGGAGCCTGTGGCTGGAGAAAGGCGTTGTTGAGCTCGAGGAGTATGAGAAGGTAAAGGCAGCGCTAAGGAAAGAGAGAGTTAGATTTCATGTGGTATACTCTGGACAATTGTAACATGGGAGGGTAATTTTCGAAGAGTTGTGGCCATTAGATGATGGCTGAAACCAATTTCCACTCCCCTGGGGGGAATCTTCAATCGTGCTACATTTTCCCATGATGCTTTTATGAGTCTGTGGGCTGATGAACTAGAGCAACTGAGCGTTAGAAAGACAGTATACACAGCTTTGCTTTGCTTTAGAATATCTAAGAGTATAACTCCACATTCCCAAAATCCATAGATGTTTGGAATGATTTACCGACATTTATATATTAGACAAAAACTCCTTTGACTGGATTATTTAAAAACCTTGCACCCATATGGACTCTCACAGTAGTCCATAAATGACAAAGCATAAGCAAGACAATCACCACCCATTTGTACTCCTCCCTGCAGTTATAATTGTGGGCTTCAAAGGAAGTTTTATAATGAGGGGTAGAATAAAAGGAAAGAAATGGGGACACCTCGTGGTGGGAAGAACAAATAACAACTGTAAACTCATCCATCCTTGAAATCGAAAGAGGGAGAAAGGAAAATGGGAAGAGGAAAGGGGGAAGGAACGCAATACAAACAGAAAAAGGAAAAAACACGGAACAAGAAATAAAAGCAGAATTAATCATCGTTTCCGCCATGACCCTCCTCATGGCCACCATTATCACCCAGCCCAAGACTTTCCCAATACGGCTCAAAACTTTTACTAGAAAACCTCCTCTCATGAAACCCCCGATCGGAAGCTAAGATGACACCAGAAAACCTCCCCGCACCCCCTTGCTTGAAGAAATCATCCCGGACTTCAATTCTTTTAGCAACATCTCTCCATCCGAACGTCATTCAGAACCCACATTCCAAGATCTGCTCCTCGTCTTTGCCGATACATTGAACAACAGTGGCGAGAAGTCTGCAGTCGATATATGAAGGGGCTCTCTGCACGGGTGCGAGAGGGGGTTGCAGAGCGTTATCGTCAGATATAGCCTGCAGCATTGGCGCAAACATTGCGTGCTGGATGGGGCCAGGTGGCAGAGCTGCCAGAGTGGGATTTGGCTGCATTATTATGGTCATGAGGGTAACTGCGGAGTTTGATTCTGGCTCTGTTTCGGATTCTCGAGACATCGGTGGACGGTCATCTAAAGGCCCATGGAGGCCGGGGTATTGTTTCATTATGAGGGTATAGAGAGGAGTTGCAGGCGGGTTCGTCGCAAAGTAGGAGGGCCGCATTATGCTTGGGTGGGGTAATAGACTGGGAGGGCCGCCTACACCAGGAGCTACAGGGACTGCCGTGACAGGTGGGCCTTGAGCAAGTGGAAAGCCTAAACCCGGATTTTGCTGCGCCAGATCTTGAAATAAATCTACTCGGGGTGGCCACTGTGGCAGGGGATTCGACATGGGTACAACTGGGAAGACTTGGTCCAGCGGCTGGTATGGAACGACGATGTTGTTCTGATTGAAAAAAGGTGCCAGGCGAACATATCCACAACTCACGAACTCCAGTCGATAAAGGAACGGTGGGAGATTTTCCCGCGGTTGATTGAGTTCTTGCTTCTCTAATAAAGCCTTTTGGTCGATAAGCGTGAGCCCCGGAGTGAAATGGTTGATAATGTCTACCCAGGTTCCCTCCCGTGGTAATTCCATATAATATTCTTCTCTTTTACAACTCGGGCGCAACGTATCGCTCACATAAGGGTTGGGGCGAGTGCCGGGTTGTGCTGTCAAGGAGCAGGAATTAAATGTCAGGGACTCAAGGGGGGTTCGACAACAGCCTTTGAAGAACTCAACCAAGAGATGCGGACTGAACCAGCAATTTTCAAATGTGAGATTCTTTATATGAGGAAATGTAAGAGGGGGTTCAGGAAGGCGACCAATGGCAGCATCACGCGGGAATTTAGTGATTGGAGCCGGTAGAATATGTTGGTTTCGAGCATGTTTGCCTTTTGCGTGCTCTCCTCCACCGACATACCCGACTCGAAGGCACTGTACCCGAGCCACGCGCGAGATAACATTGTCTAAAAGACGGTTCAATGAATTCGATGCGGTGCTAGGATCAATGTACTTCATCGGCTTTAAGGGATCCCACGCCATATCCGCTTGTTTCCAATCCGGAATAACCATGAGAATGATGCGGGTTAGGCGTGGGAATGCATCAAAAAAGTCCCGCCTGCTAAAGTTTTCTAGCAAGGAGGAAGAAATGCTAGATATATTCAAAGTATGAACGCCCAAAAATGACTCTTTAGTGTCGATGACTGAGCAGATGCATGACCCCAAAATAGCCTGAGCTGCCCAGGCTGTTTCAAGTAGCCATTCGGTTTGCGCATGGGTAGGGTTTCTAGGGTATAGTTGGCAATCACCCTTGTCGCGGTTCTCTCCATACCTACGTCCATACTCAATGGTTGGGTCAATTTCCAATGCTGCATATTGAAGAAAATAATCCGGAATTGAATCGAGGTGTTGAATACTCGAATCGGAAGGCGGATATATATCTTCATACACCTGTTCTGGGAGTATTGACCACAGATAACCTTTTAGATTCTCTAAGGATATTGAATCTAGGTGTTTTTTCACAGGGCCCGTTGATGAAGAACTTTTGCGTTGCTCCAGAGAGTTGGTATCAAAGACATCTTCGCGGAATATACCACGTTTTCCTTCGAATTGCAGATAAGGACCAAGCAGGGTAGGAGGATTTAGCCAGCCATAACCATTGTCGAAACTCAAAGCGAACTCAGAAAGATTGGTCAAAGTCTTAAAGGCACGTTTCATCCTCCCAAACTGATCTGCAATTTCTTCAACTCTCTTTAGGCTATCGAATCTAACGTAGTCGCTCTTGGCCCACTCATATTCTCCCCAGAAGGTCTTGACTTCTTCAGTGTGTGACTTCCCTGGAGGGTCAAATAGCAATATTTGGTCCATCTCGAAACTAAGGCCAAACCGAGAAACACAACTTCCAAGAGCTTCAAAGTTATCGATCTTTTCGTTGGAAGTTTCATCAGAAGCATATATCGTAGGGTGAAACGAGACCACAATGGTGTTGAAAAGCGTTTTCTGGAGCTTGAAGGCAAATTCTTTGTTGACTAATCGTAGATTGCAGATATCCTTGCGAGGTAGGTGTGTGGCAACACAGGCAAATATCTCTTCAGGAATGCCATGGGAGGGCCAACCTTTACGGAGAGGGCTGTTATTAAGTGTCACGAGCATGTTCTGGCTGATATATTGACTTCTATTTCTGAGGGGGGATTCTAGCAATGCATGAAATAAGGACTGCAAGAATATCACCTAGCCTCATAATGAAATAATGTTAGTGACATGAAAAGAATAGCGTAGAATGAAGATATCGGAATACCTTCGAAGTAAGTTGTGATGGAGCACCTGCAATAGAAGGCGTCCTTTGTGCATCAAGACTCTATGCAGAGTTGGCCAACCTATTAGTTAGATGTAACTATATAGGAAAACAAACTTTTGAAAAAGCAAAAGAAGGAAAAGAAGTGCTATACAGCAAGAAAAAAGAAGATACATTGTAAGCAATTGCTAACCGCAACACATATTCACATGATAATATCAATTGTACAGAGGAGCCAAGATAGTAGGTAGGACTTACAGCTGATATATTGTTCAGGCTTTTAGATCTTGATCATCCCTCAGACTCGTCTTTCGTTTCCTTTCCTTTCCTTTTATATTCCAGAAATCAGCCACTGAGATATGGGGGAGACGGAAGACTCCCGCCACAACGTACAGAGAAGAGTTATGAATGAATAATTACCATTACATTCCTTTTCTCAGAAACCTACCCTCACACCAGTGATTCGTTTGAGAGAGTTTGCAATATTCCGTCTCCCCATTCGGATAGAATGTAGGAGGACGCTGACAACGGATTCTTACATCAGGAAATTACCCCAACGACAGTACTTTTCTCACGCGGGAATCCGGAGGCGTTTGAAACCAGCGCACACCGTATATGTTTCCCGGGGTCTGTGGCTTTCCCTGCGGGGTTTCCAACGGCGCTGAATCGCAGCTGGGTAGAGCAGGAACCCGCTCCGGACACAATGACCAATGGTAGAAATATACATATAACAAGCAATGCTATCTGGTTGTCCGGGTTCGTTCGCTGCGGACAGATAGACCCACCGGTGAGCTATAGCGTATGCACACGTAGGTACGACGGAGACTACGGCGGGACTGTGGCATGAGCAGGCAGCTGATGGGGGTGACAGAGTTCAGCATAGTATGGACGACGTCATCAATTGGGGATCGATTGAGGAATTCGGAGGGAGTTGATCTTGTTCACCGGTAGTTACCATAGAGTTGACTATCAGGATCAGATCGAGATCAAGAGCGACGTTTTTGTGTCTGTCTCTTCAACACCGAAGGGGCTTCCTCCCTTGGTAAGGGCCCCGGACAATGATGCCAGCCGAAACTTCCCCAACCTGCAGTGAAGCTTGTAGTTAAAAGCGGCACGAGCTAGTGGAACTTGCCCGCTAAACTGCTTCCCTTGGTTAGTTACGTCATCCCGATGATATGACTCCCTCAACCGTGGGAACAAATCCTCAGTATTATAAAGTTACGGGAGCAGATATGGGAGATATTGTGTACCTTTTTATTATACTTTTTGGGTTATAACTTCGGGTTTACGTATCCCAATGCATTGGAAACGTAATTACGGAGGAGAAGCTACTCACTCCGTACGGGTAACTATTAGAGATGTTTTCTGCCAGTGGTGGTGTATCTGGCCCGCGAGTCAAACCTTCCACCCCCTTTGTTCAATCTATATTAATTGGTTGCTACACCAAACAATGCCTTTATTAGTTCCAGAACATAATAGAAGTAAAGGGCGGAAAAGCAATTCTCACACATAAGCAGCTCAATGAATATGAAGTCAGAGAATTTCATAGTATCCTCTCAGTCTTGAAATCATACTCATCCATTAGCATATCTTCCATGACATGGACTGAACTCTTCAGGTGTCAAAAATCACAACACAACATCACCGCAGCAATGGCAAGAACACATCAAAAGAATCAAGGAGTTGTTTGCTTTTCTTCTTTCTCTTCTTCTCCTTCCATCCTCCTCCTCACCTCTGCATCTGAACCCAAATATCACATCCTGATAGCAAAACACAATACGAAGTACCGCAACTGGCGTAAAAGCCATGACTACTCCACCTCCCTCAACTCCTAACCCGTCAGAGGGCGAGTACAAGAACCATCGCTGTATCCTCTGCGACGATCTTGTCCCAGAGTTCCCGTGTTTCGAAGGGCCTAACAACCCGTCATTCGGTCCCATGGTGAAACGTATGTCGCAAAAAGCAAAAATGTCGACTTTTATAGTGAGATATATATATATATATGTATATATATATGCGCTAACGAAGGAGAAACATGACTTAGACCGACATTGTACCCGCGGGGAATTGCCGCTGGCGTTTCCCCAACACATTAGCATGCTCAATGAGATTGGCTTCACCGACGATGTGGTTGAGTTTGGCGGATTGAAATTCCCCTCCTATTTCCATGGAGATTGCTTCAAAGCCTTAGCGGCAGACAAGACGACTGATGCATCTATCAATAAAAAGGTTGCGTACCTTTGCGAAGCGCTTGTTCCGCTATTTAAGTTGCCACGCGGAAATCCAACAGTCATGGACGACTTCATTTTGCAAAACGCGCTTACCAAGTTGGCTAAGAAACACGGCTGGGATCGCCTCACCGTTAGAGAAAGGATGGCAAAAAAGCTCGACGAGAACGAAAGTTTTGCTGAGCTGATGTATAAAATGTGGCTGAAAGTTCCAGTTGAAATCAAGCTGGACGTTTGGAAGCACCTTGACGTCTGCCAGGCGAAGTCCCTGCTTTCTGTCACGGCGGAGACTGCAGACCTTCTGGGACGTGTAAAGTTCCCTGTTGGCGAGTGTACAGGTCGCATCAACTTGCGAGGGCAGATAAGGGCGTATCTGACCACCATCCGCGGGTTTCAGTACATTTGTGGCGTCCACGATGGGAAGAAGTTGCTTGGCCACGAGAGTGACAAGGTGGAAATGATTGACATTCCAACGGGGGTCATCGCTATCAAGTACGTTATCGGGCCATATGGGTTGTCAAGTTTGGGAATTTTTGGTGATAACAGAATGGCTTGGATTGGCGATTACAATACATCGCAGAACAACAAGGGCAAGTGGGCAGGTTTGTTCCGGACAAAAACTATTATGAAGGAGTTGTCTTTCGAGTGGGATGTAAGTATTGAAGACATGTTTCCTAATCTTAATCCTCCCTACTAACACATTTTGTGTTCTGTTTCCCCAGGCTCTGAAAATAATTAGCGTCAACAATCCAGCGGATAAGATCCACAAACCGGAGTGCCAATTGATCTGGGACGAGGCTGTCCCGCTAGTGGCAATGACGCCTTTCCCCAACCTCACGATGTATAAGAGACAGGAGTGCAGAGATTACTGGTCATCGTTCCCTCGAAATAAACGACTGTCACTGGCTAAAGCTCTTCCGCTGTACGAGAGAGAATTCAGCCTCTATGGCGTGACCGCATTTTGTCACAGATCCGGGGCACTTATCGGATTACGGTCTGATTTCAGATCTTCCAAAAACAGCGAGATCCTCCGAAATTACCAAATTGGAGATCAAGATGGAATTCCAATTCACTTTCGCCTACGCTCAAGTGAAGCGGTTGTCTGGGTATGGGGGTACGAGGCAGGTCATTCGCATGTGCAGATGCCCGGGATGGTTGTAAGTGATTGTAAAACACTTTCAGCTCTTGGCCACTTCCATTTCATTTGCTAATTCGTAGAGCAGATGGGAACAAACCGCGGAAGAGCTGGAGTTTTCGGTCCTGTTCTGCCCGCTGGACAAGAAGGCTGGACCATGGTCACGCACTTAAACCGTGGGATTGTTCTTGCACTTTTCGTCACTCAAACCAAACTTATCAAAGGTACCCAGATCACAGAGTTTGGGACTCTGTGTTCAGAGATTCCTGCACCTGCGGAGATGCACATTCCTGATATCGTCAACAACAATCTGGTGGCGCCGCCTAGAAATATGAGGCGACAGCCGATTTTCGTAACCCATGCACGCCTTAGGAACATCAGCAAGATTGTAGCCTGCTATCGTGAGGATCGCTGCTCCGGACTCCTGTTGGAACATACTGACTCCGATGTGTGTGATGTGGTTGGGCGTTGGTACGAGAACGACAAAGACAAGCATGTAACCCTCTTCTCTCTCCAGGGATCCGCAGTCCCGCCAGCGAAACTTCGGTTCCATCTGAGCTCGGGCGTGGGTGTACGCACCGTAGATAGTGTTGAAGTTCTCATTGGGGAACAAGGTAATTCGGACGGTTCTGGGGACAATGATATTGTTGATATAGAAGACGAGGTAAGAAATAATTCCTTATGTCTTCCATTGTTTGTCGATTGCTAGTTCTGACGCATGAGCAGTGGCATTTTGCGTGGTGGTTTATGGATGATGAAGACATAGTCCGTCGCGTTCATCTTCCTCATTGAGGATCCAGATGTTGTTGACACCAAGCAGAGATGGTAGCTAGATTTGGAGTTAGTATATGACAGATCAGGGCCAATAACCCTCAACATAAAGCTTCTATCAAGCTCCTGTTTTTCACGGAGTGTGACGAGATGCCGTCCTACCTGATTTTGGGGGGTTGGGTTGGGTAAGAATGCCTTCTAGTTGTCATTAGTGGCGTGAGCGTGATTTTCCATAGCCTCCTGCAGTGATGATCTATATACAAGGCGGGGAAGTAGGCATATCACGTAGGGATCTCGTGACCGTGACATAGAAACCGAGTTTTAATTAGTTATTAAAAGCTGTCAATGTTGCCAACGTTAATACCACTTTTCATCCTATATTTAATAAATCATGGAATTAAGCAACCACCAAACTAGAATTTCTCGTGTTAAAATATATAGATCTCTTCCTTAGGTCTGTTGGCAGCTTCTAGCAGTATGATCAATTGTATTACATTTGCTGCAGTGTGGTGGAGCTCACTTTCTAGGCCGCTGATTTAATTCCATTACCCCCTTCTGTACGACTTGATCAATTGCTTGAGCTCTAGCTATTCATTCCTCAGCTGTTAGAGCTCCATTCTGAGCTATAAATGTATGGGCTTGCTTCTTCTTACACGTTTTACTTTTCAACTGCAGCTCTTAGCTCCTTATTTTCCTTTGCTAAGATAGCAGCACTAACTATGCATGGCCAGCTGAAATCTCTGAATCTGCTGATTAGCTGCTTGATTGGTTGGACTGGACAGCAGCTCCGTACGCTGCTTAATCCTGCTGCTTTGACATTCTAACTGCCTCACGTTCTCAGGCGTTAGAAGCGTATAGGATGACTCAGATCCACGAGAAGTGCCTGGGGAGGTAGGGGTATAAAGCTGGGTATGTAGCCGTTGTAAGAACTTCATCCGGATCGTACGGCACTAGACCTCTCTCATCCATGGATATTATCCATTGAACTAGAGATTCTTCTTCCGCAGAGGGCAGTTTTGGATAGTTTGGTAGAGAATTCACACGTGAAGCTTGACCCCTTCAATATCTTCTAAACAACGTGGTATGATTAACATTATACATGGCTCATTTGGATATAAATTGAAATGATTTAACGAGTGGGAAATAACTAGTCAGTTAGTTAACTAGGCATATTAGATTAGTCAGCTCGCAGCACCTCAGAAAACATAATTGCTGCAGCATTGGCTGAAACAGTCTGAAGTTTGTTGCATATCTGGAACTCAACCCTCTTCTTCTATGGCCTGCATAATCCAATCATGACGTTGACGTGAGCATGCCAGTGGAGCGGCATGTTTTTTACCCACCAATTGGGTGCCGCAAGCTTCGAGTCACTAGCCATTAGTTATAGATAACCAATCATCCAAGGGCCAACTCGTTCTCAGTCGACAAAGCAACCTCTGAGCAACCTTAAAAAAGAGAACACACACACACAAAGAATATAGAAAGAAAGAAAGAAAGAAAGAAAGAAAGGAAGAAACAAAGGAGGAAGGTAGAAGGAAGGGTACAGAGATATTAGATCCTGCATTGGATCTCCGGACGAAAACAAAAAATGGCAGACCAGATCCATGGTTCAATCTCCAGTCATCATTCGAGTCACCTTACCCACCGTTCAGACACCCCTTCGCTGGCTGTAATCATGCTGTCGGAGCAGGCAATGGCCTCGGGTGTTGAGCC